TGCATTTCCAAGGAGACACTGAGATCTTTCCTCTGCAGCATTTGCACTCTTTCTAGACAATGTCTTTCTCACTCATAGTTCCAGTTACCAACTTTTCATCAGTCGCTCACTCATAACTTCCTCTCCTCAGTCTGGGTTTCCACGCTGAGCTGCAGCTCTGTGTATCTTCTGTCTCATTTGGTGACATTTGCCAACCCTGTCCCTCACTCACAGTGCACAGCAACTGACAATACCATCCATTCTGGTGGTCTGCAGGCCAAAATCGTCCTTGACACTTCATCTCTTATCACTTCAATGCTGGGTTTTCCCAATCTAGAGGGTCACAGCATTCACATGTGGACATTTTTGAGAATTATAAGGGGGACAACTAATCACACCAGGTCCACAGGTGTATATGAGAACTGTAAGATTTCCTACCATGTAAGTCCTGGCCTCTCTCCTTTTCCACTGCTACTATCAATCCCAAATGTTCAGTCTCTTGCCAATGTCCTCCCGATGGCCTCCCAAGTGGCCGGTGCTCCTGGACAGAAGCTTACATTGACCCTTGGCTCTATATTGCACCAAAGACCAGGAAGGAAGGGATAACTCTGGTTTCTGACTACAGTATGCCTTAGAGACACCCCAAGATCTTGTACACTCAAATTGCTGGGCTCTATCTAAAATTTCTGACTCAAGAATTCTGGGGTGGAGCCCCCAAATTGCAATCTAGGAAGTTCCTAGGTGATACCCCATTTTGAGAAGCCCTGGCCTATTGTAAGGATGAGCAGGGGCCAGGACACTGAGGGGTGCCAGGGACTGTAGCCAGATGAGATCAGCACAGATCCTGGTTCTGCCATTTACTGGTGAAGTCATCTAAGACAAGCTGCTAACTTCTCCGCATGGAAGTTTCCACACCTATTACATGGAGATGATGGTAACGATGGCTAAATTCTGAGACTACTGTAGAAATAAAGAGGTTAGAAGGCACACAGTGTTTAATGATGAACGGCATAGAGTGAGCGCTTTGCAATCATTTATATACTAAATAAAATACAAGTTCTGGAATCCAAAAAAGAAAAAAACCAAAAAATAATGGCCTGCACTTTCTAATTATGTGACCTTGTAAATCACTTAACCATTCTGAGCTTCAGCTTTCTTATTTGTAAAATAAGGGTAAAACAACATTTGTCATGTAGTATTCTCATTAAACTAATACATCACTTTTCAAATCTTGGCAAAAGAATATATGCACATCAGAACCTCTTAATCATGTCACTGGCACAGGTTTTGATTCTGTGGGATAACGCTGCCCTCTTCTGGTCAACTCCACATTTTTAAAATTGACTAGTTGCTCCCCACTTCATTTCATCATGCAAAAACCAGAACAGTCTTTAACAACTTTGTAATTACTAGTAAAAATAATAATTAAATTATGTTTCCCTGATTCACGAAGACCACAAGTGAGAACTTTGCTACCTAATGATTCCAAGAAAGATAAAAATGGAGTACATGCAGTATTTATGTGCGTGCGTGTGTGTGTGTGTGTGTGTGTACACCGTGAACAAGACAAATTCTCCCAGTAATTGGATAGGGCATGCATTTCATTCTCATCAGATGTTGCTTGTTTACCTGAACTCCTGAGAAGACAGGCACCCCACAATACATTTGGAGCTAGTTAGGCTACCGTTAAATCATATGCTGCCCTTCAATGCCTCCAGCACCCAGGCAAACACACCCCACTTCCAACATCCTACTTTCCAAAGTCCTAGGAAACCTCTGGGGGAGGGTGGGGGAGGGGGAGGGACTGAACGCTCCATCCAGTCACTGCTTTCTAGTCTGCTCTCCTGTATAACAAAGTGGCCTTTCCTCCTTTCCTCCTTTCCAAGGTTGCTCCCAAAGGGGGAGTCCAAGCTCGAGGTTTCAGGGGCTCGGAGGCTGGAGCAGTAGGACTGGCCTGAACCACACTCAGAATGCAGATCAGACCTGGAGGCGAAGGCATTGCATCAGCATCTGCACTGGCCGAGCAGCAATCCCCCCCCCTCCCCTCCCCCCCCCAATGCCACTGCCCTCCACACCAGCTCTGATCCCCCAAGTGGATCGTCAAGCAAGAGAAGCAAGACGTCAGCCCACCA